ATACTCTAACAAAAGAGCATCTGAAAGGCAGAGACCCTCTCTGCGTGGGACATCCATAATTTTGCAGTAAAAGCTACAGAACTGTCTGGATTCAGACCACTATAATTATGCAATGAAAGCAATTGCTAGAATGTGGCTAGGAAGGGCAGAGTCCAGCCTATATATAAACCAGTAATCTCTACCATGCTCATTAGGTGCACTGTGTATGTTCAACAGAATAGTACAAATAGGGACCTGTGTACCTTGTAAAGATATTCAGAAAAAAAATTAGGTTGGCTTGGGGGAAGTCTCTACTTTTGCTCTCACGCAATTGAGTGGGTGTGTATGGACTACCAATAAAGCCAGTTCAATTGCCAGGTGGGAGGAAGGAAGGAAGGAAACTGCTAATTGGCTAAACTAGTGGTTAGCCACTAGCTGGCAGCATTCAAAGCACTGCAGTTGATAGCACTGCATTTCAATGGCTTGCCACCCAAATGGTCAGTGTGGTTTTTGTGTTTATCTTTATTGGAAAGCAGCAGGTAGGGAGGTGCTAACAGAGCAAAGACAAAAGTAATTTTTACAGATTTGATTTGAGATTTGGAAATCATTCCTGTAGCAGCTGACAAAGCAGATTGTCACCGATGAAAGCTCATGTCTCTTTGGACTAGTTAGTCTCTAAGATTCTACTTTGCCCTACCTTTTGCTTGACTTCAGACTAATTCATTTACCTACCTTTCTATTCTCCGTAGCAGTAAGAGAGCAAAGGTAATGCATAGGTATAAGGCAAAGCAGTCAAGAGTCAGCTTTATGAGGTTTAATATAGAGGACAAAGGAAGTAGCTGAGATGACAACACTCTATGTGCCATGTGAGATCATTGCACTATATCTAGTACTGGTGTCAAAGCAACCATTGAATTTTCCGTATTTTCAAATGATATAAGATATTTGTTCACTCCAAAGAGGCAGATTATATCAAGTGCCCATGGACTTTAAGGAAAGATAAATAAGAAACCCGCACTCCTTGTTTCACTCCGAGGTAAATACAAACTACATAACATATTGCTAATAATGAGGCTTCACACCAGCCATCTTCATCTAAGCATCTCAAAACACTCCTGTTAAGAAATTAAGCCTCATTGTTTCTCTGTCTTATAGATATAAATCTATACATTTATAAATATAAATCCATGAATGTAAAGTAACTGTCCACTTTTTGTAGAATTGTCCCATAAAAATATTCAGAGCAGCAGACTTTGACTCATCGAGGGTAGTTTATGCATGCTTTGCATATGGACAAACTGAGATTATATGATTTAACTCCAGTCACAATTAATCAAGAGAGGTTGGAAGAACAGAATTCTCTTAGTGAAAATACCTTCCAAGCCAGCGGCGTGTGCTGGCTGCGTCGATCTACAATAGACTCCAGGCAACGTGCTCTCACTCTTTCTTCCATAATCGGTCATTTGAAGCTTTGTGTCCATAGCTAGACATGCTACCAGATCCGCTCTGTCACATCTCAATTATTGGTGCTGTTTGTTTTGCAAAATTAGAACATAATAATTATGTAAAATATGTCGCTTGGTCATGTTGCTACATTTAAATTTTTTTGTTCAATACAGTAAAAATAGTTAAGTGGGAATTGAACACGTGCACACACCCCCACATACCAGCTGAAAAATAAAAACCTGGAAAACTTAAGACATGAATTCTGAATAGTGCAAGGAAACAACCATTGGATCAGATTATTAAGAGAAATTCATAGATTCATAGATTCATAGATTAAGGGTCGGAAGGGACCTAGTAGATCTTCTAGCCCGACCCCCCGCCAGGGCGGGAGAACAACAAAAACCCCAAAAAGAGAAATGGGACTCAAACGAGTCCAGCTAGGTGGGCATCCAGCCTCTTCTTAAAGACCCCCAGGGTAGGGGCCAGCACCACTTCCCTTGGAAGTTGGTTCCAGCTCCTAGCCGCCCTAACGGTGAAGTAGTTTTTGCGGATGTTCAATCTATACCTCCTCTCCAACAGCTTGTGCCCATTTCTCCTTGTTATGCCAGCGGGCGCTAGGGGAAACAGCGTCTCCCCCAAACCCCTCTGGTCCCCCCTAGTGAGTCTATAGACAGTCACCAGGTCCCCCCTTAGCCTTCTCTTGTGGAGGCTGAATAGGTTCAGGTCCCGCAGTCTCTCACTGTAGAGTCTGCCCTGTTGTCCCTGGATCATGCGGGTGGCCCTCCTCTGGACCCTCTCCATATTGTCCACATCCCTCTTGAACTGGGGCGCACAGAACTGGACACAATACTCCAGCTGTGGCCTGACCAGTGTCGCATAGAGGGGGAGGATCACCTCTTTGGCTCTACTCGAGATGCACCTGTGGATGCACGACAAGGTCCGGTTAGCCTTGCCAACCATGACCTCGCATTGTCGGCCCATGTTCATCTTGGAGTCAATAATGACTCCAAGATCCCTTTCTGCCTCCGTGCTCTCGAGTAAGGAGTTCCCCATTGTATAAGTGTGCCGCTGGTTCCTACTGCCCAAGTGCAGCACCCTGCACTTGTCCGTGTTAAAACGCATCCTGTTCCTGTTAGCCCACCCCTGTAACCTATCCAGAAAATCCTCCATCACTTGAAGGCTTTAAATGAAGCCTGGATTACTCTCCCAAATTATGCCTTAGTTCAACCCCAAGTTATTGAGCTAGAAGTAGGAATCCAAAGGTGAAATGCTCTGGCCTGCATTGTGCCTCCTGATGTTAAAAGCTGTGAGGTCTTACACATAGGATGCTAATTTTTGTTGTATGATTTAGATCTTTGCCATGTGTCTGGCCCTGACCAGTGCTTTGGGGTGGTTAGAAAATAAAGCCTAATATTCTCATGTTGTACACTACAAGAAGAGTCGGGGGAATTGTTCCTTCTAGAGTTCCAAACCCCCCTGGGTATATTTCTAGTGACAATTCAACAAGTTTGTAACATAAAATAATGGAAGGACCTTTTCAAAATATCACTATATTTTAAATAAATTAGGGACTATGTGATCCATTACTGTAGACAGATATTCCCAGAGGTAATGAAAGGCATACAGGAGAAGGTTCATTGGGGTTGGGCATACGCAGCTTTTCCTGACCTCTGGGCTCACTCTTGTGCGAGGGAGGTGTGGAGCCAGGATTGCAGGGGGAGAATGGGTGCAGTATGTGGATTCGGCATGGCCTGAATCGATCATACATTGCGCCTGAAGAGTGAAAGTCAAGAAGCTGCAGAACCTTCTGTGACCGGGAGGCGATAGTAAGTTTCTGAAACAATTCTAGTTCTCCCAAAGAACACTCAGAGCCTAGCCTGACTGCTGGTCAGAAAGCTTAGGTTAGAATTTGCAACTTAATGAAAGGTAACTTGAAGCCGAGTGCATTTTGGCATAATAATTTTATTCCATTTTATTTTATTGATCTTGCACTATTCTGGCTTCCCAGCCTGTGCCTTGCTCTTGATTTATTTAGTGATTAAAGGGTCTGTGTCCAGGTAAAGCACTGGACTGTGATCTTTATCTTTTGTTACTAATGCCATCTTATATTTTGGGGAAAAAAAAAAAAAGGAATTTTATAGATTAGATTTACTCATCATTGTTTATATCTATTGTTCATTTCTTACTGTATGAACAGGGGAACTAGATTGGCCTATCACCACTTTCACTTCCTGGGTTCTATGACTAGCAAAGTGTTTCTGTGCTAGGCTTTCCAGTATTGCATCCCTTTTTTTTAACTGAAGACTTCTCTGGAGGATGCAGAGGCCAGCCCTGGAAAAGGCAGGGAGCCAGGAAGGGAGAATCCAGGCCACTTTTATGGGCTATCCATATCTGAAAGAGCTAAAATAGCTCTTTAAAGAAAGGCATGCAACTGCAAAATGTGCTTGCACTTGCATCTTGCTTGGTAGGCAAACTCAAACAACAAGCAACAGAAAATCTGCATCTGGATCAGCTTTTTCTTCACCCTACAATTACATGAAGAGGGTAATGCCTGGCTTCCTTTTGGGACTAAACATGCCACAGTGGGAGCTCTTTACATAATATGCTGAACTGGTGAAAACAACCAAAGTAATTAAAGGCCTTTTCCCTCCCAATCCTTATTGCTACTTCTGCCTATAAAATTAAAAAAGACTCACAGAAGTCATTTTAATTTCTTGGTATATGCAAACAAAATTCAAAATGTGTGTGGCATTTTCCTTTGAAATGCCCCTAGGATTGCAGGCAGAATGGAGGGGAAACTTGTGTAAAATGTTTGAGCCCATGTTAAAACAGAAAAAGGAGAAAGTTAAACAATAAATCCATTTTTAGTTGTCATAAGCACGCTTTAGGAATCCTTAAGTGAAATTCAGTGGCTTAGTTACACAGGCTACAATGATCAAAATGGTCCAAATTTAGAAACCAGGACAAATTCTCATAACTTCAATGGGAGTTTGGATCAGGTGTTTGCCGTTTCAGTGAACTCAAGGTGTAGATGTTTTAGGAGCAGTTGAATGACTAAGCACCCGTTGTTCCATGTTCAGTTTGATTTAAGCTCTGAGAAGCTGAAGTGCCTCTGACTTGCAGTTTGACTTAATGCTTTTAAGAACCAGATTTACACTGGTACTTAGGCACCTGCTGCTATTTACAAGTAATTTAGCTTCCTTACTCCCATTTATTTTCAGTCAGAGTGTGATGTCTTCCTCGTTTAGGCACTTCTGTAAATTCCAGTATGACCTAGATCTTTGAAGTCATTCACATATCTAACTCCTAGTAAATGCCTCCCATCTTAATGAAGGGTAATGCGGTGCCTATGCACCTGTCGTCATCTTTTGGTACAGAAATGGCTTCATAAGTCTCATCTTAAGACACTTGAAAATGCAACTTGGACTCCAAAGTAAATTTGATGCTTCTGAAAATGTTACCCACTGTCTTCTTATTCAAAGCATAGCTAAGGCCTACTATAGTGCCATAGTATTTTTCCTTCTGGACTGGTGTTTGCCTCTGAAGTTTGAACTGGTTTATGCTTCATTTCACAGTGTCTTTGGACATGTGGCAGCTCTTGGATGCATCTTCTGTACTCATTGACTCATCTATCTTGAACTTTGATGTCGTACAAGTCAGCAGAGATGATTCTGGTAACTTCACCACTGCCAGAGACATTTGTCTGTCAGGTGAGGAATGTTTTCTTTATCTTTATCTTCAAAGAACATGATATATTGATTCATGACAATGAAGCATATCACTGAAAACATGACTCCATAGGTCATGAGTGCCTGCAGAAGGACACCCCAAAGCATCTTTCCTGGCAGGTTTGGCATGTGTTTGCAAGAGTAGATGAGTGAGGGAAGCTTCGGTGGCCTCCTGGTCAGGTCCTATTGTGGCTATGGTGTAGGTATGCTCTGTAGGGCCAAACTCCCATAGCAAGTCAGTGGGAATTGAACCTGTTTATCTCCCTTTTCTATCTTTGCAAATCTCCCCTCAAGCTGTGCGGGGGGAGGGAGTTAATATCCTGAAAACATGCAGTATCTGTTCACTTTCCTTGCTTTCTTTCTGTTTAATTTTTTGCCTCACTTGCTTTCATGGTTCTGCTGTTTCTCTCTCCACAGCCTGTTCAAAGAGCCAGTCCTGCATAGTGGTTACCCTCGAAATCCAGCTCTCCACAATCCGATGCATTTTCTACCCTGATACAAAAATATGCACACATGGCCTGCAAGGTCACAGCTGTCGAATTTTACTCAAAGAGCCAGCTACTTATATCTATAGGAGACAAGGTGAGTGCAAGGCAAAATGCCATAGAAGTAAGCTCAGTCTTGGTAGCTTGTGACCCATTCTTGCACATGAGAAAATGGCTTAAAATTTGTTAGAGACATAACAGCCTTACAATATATGAATATGAACAGCATAGTTCTACCTATCTAACATTCATGGGACAGACTTGGATTTGGTGAAGATTATGGTTCAGGCAACGAGCATGTGAAAGTGTCCCAAAATCTTTTTACGGCAAAACACAAAATCGTATTGTGGTGCTTCATTGCAAGAGAGCTATGCAACAAGTTTGGTCTGTGAAGGAGTCTTTGAAAAGTGAAGAAAAACTCATAGGAACGGAATTCTAGTTCTCCAAACCTCCTGTGACCCCAGTTGCTTCATTTCTGTCTTTCATCTACTGGCTCATATCTAAGATTAATACAGGGGATAATCGAAAGCCCACTGTAGATTATGGAAGAGCTCTGTGGAGCTTCTCTGATAGTCCAAAGCCAAATTACTATATGCACTCAAATCCAAGATCCCTCCCCCCTGCATTCAACGAAGGGGGAGGGAAAGCTACTCATCTTAAATTCAAGAACAAGTGGGGCAGGGTGCAGCAGCTGTGGCTCCAAGTTTGACCATGATCCAGGTTGGATTTGGAGCTGCAGCCACTGCCCCCACACCACCCCAACCTGCTCCCTGCAGCCTCTGCTCCCTGCATTCACTGCTCACCTCCCCATCATGGCTCCAGTTGGGACCCACTGCAGCCTGGAGCAGGAAGCATAGAGTAGATGGTGCATCTGGCTCCAACTCTGCCATAGGCAGCAGGAATTGGGGGAAGTGGTGGGGAGGGGGTAGGTAGCAGGGGTTACAGGCACCTCAGCAGAGAGTGGGTGCAGGGCAAGCAGGTCCTGGGCTGGTGCAGGACACGGGTGGCAAGTAGTGGAGGGGTACAAGCACCAGGGGCTGCCTGCACTGCAGGGAGGAGCAGGGGAAGTGTTAGAGTGGTGGGGACCATGGAGCCTGCAGGTACTGGGGACAGGGAAGGCAGCAAGGGGAGCCAAGTGGTGGGGTGGACAGGTAGCACGGGGCAGGAGTCAGGCCACTTGACCCCCTTACCAATGCTTGTCCCACTGCAGTAATTTAATAGTCCCACTCCAATAGTTAGATTCTGTACATGGAAAATTATAGCAAATGTATAGATTCTCCATGTGCAGAATCTAATTACTGAGGGGTTGTTTTAAATTCGAAGTCCTATTGAATTTGTGTAAATATGATACCTTTATTGATCAAGTAAAAAAAGTTTGAGAAAGGAATGAAAGTTTCACGGACTACTACCAGTACTCACACAGAGCTATCAAATCCATCATAATATTAAGCAAATTTATTCTTGCTTTTATTACAGCTTTTTAAAATCCCCCTTTTACTTTGGTTTAATGCTGATAGTTGTTTTTTTTCAGTTTTACAGAAGTAATGAGAAACCAGATTAGATTACTGGAAAAAAGGAACTAGGGGGCGTATTTCATTTTCTCTTCGTTGAAGTCTCTGGGCAGAATTTGCAACAAATGAAACCAAATTAAAAGCGGGCATGTTAAAACTGACCTAATCTCTTGACAAATCTATGCATACTGTATTGAGTGAGTCATGAGTACAGTCGGCAAGTTTAAAGCTATGTTCTGTCTTTTGGATGCTCATACACAAGGGCAACTGTAGCCATCCAAGTTTAGAGTTTGGACCTGAACCCTCTTCTAAATTCTGTTTATAAGAATTGGTCCCACTGACTTTCACTTTCTTTTAAAGTGGTGCTGTGCACATCACTGATTTTTCAGTTCAATGTCTGATAAACCAGAGAATTAAAAAAAAAAAAAAAAGTCTCAAGTTGATCCAGAGTTTTCCATGTATCAGATTTCAGATGGAATAAAACTTGTTTTGATCCAAAATCATCATCATCAGTAAGACTAAAAGCCAAATGGCATATTTACAAACCCAGCAAAGAGGAGGTTGTCTACAGCCAAAGGGATCAGGACACAGTCATCTGTGATGTGAAATAGAGATTAAAAAACCTTCTCTGCTTGATTTAGAACAGAGTTTTCAACCAGCCTTGCCCTCCTCCCATGGTAGTAACGACTGGGCCATAGGGTATCCTGAGATGTGTGCTTCATTTTCTCGTGCTGAAGCTGTTCTATTTTATATAAAATAATTAAATATTCATTGGAGAACAGGTCTGCCATCTCTCAGCTGTCTCCTCACCATTGGACAAAAGACCTATTCTCCCTCCCTCTTTTTCTCTCCGTCTTTCCTTTTCCCTTTCCCTTCTCCTCCCCATCTGGCCTACTGAATGTTTAAGAATTGGGTAATTTGTATTTAAATAATGAAAATATTCTTAGGATAATTTTCTGATTACAATAAAACTGCTTAGAAGAGAGATTTGTTTTCTGGTGTATTCGCTTACCTGGAAGAGATGTTAAGAGTTAACGACTGGAAGTACAGTACGATGACATCTGTATGCAGCACCTAATATCTAATGCCATGCAAAATATAAGTAAAAAGCAGTCTTCATCAAAAGTGACTTAGATGTTTAAGGACCAATATCATTGAAAGTTAATAGAAATTTGGGTCCAAAGTCATTTTCAAAAATAAGACATAGTCTTCTAACAGCTCTTGAAAAGTTTCCTAAATTAATAAGGACAATGATTTTTTTTTCCCCCCTTCTCTCAACTAGATTTGTTCCTGCCTATCTCTGAGCCTGGCATAACCTCTGTGAACATCCCATCCCAGGGGGTGTTGATCGGTAGGTCCCAAGCAATCCGCATTGGTGCAGAGTGGAGAAGTGTCGATCAGTTCCTTGGAATCCCATACGCCGCGCCACCAGTAGCAGAGAACCGGTTTCATCCTCCAGTACCATTTACTTGGCTGGAATCCTGGAATGCCACCATGGCTCGGTGAGGAGGCCACAGGAGTTCCTGATCCCCTGCAAAATTCTTTGTTTCTGTCACTTCCATAAGCTCATTCAGAAACTCGGCTTCTACTGTAATGAGCATGATATACGTGCTGTTACCTGCAAAAGACAATAGGGTGCATTGTTAAATGTAGGTTTGAGGCAGTGTGCGCTCTTTTTGGCACGTGCATGTAGTAATTTATTAACCCATCCATTATTATATTTATGTGCGGAAAAAATGTCTTATGGTATGCAGTACCCCAAACCTGTATTTAGCCATACTCTGTCTATTGCAAATAATAATCAGATTCTAAATTACTGTCATTCCACTTTACTACTTACATTTTTTTCTGATATCTCCCACATTTCAGTCCTGGTGAGTTTGGAAGGGAGTTAACGTAGTGTAGTTTTTTGGCACGTTGCTTTCAGAGATGCTGTAGCTCAAGCAGAAGTTATCAGCTGCATACAAAAATGGCTGGTGATGTTTTCTCAGTAGTGGTCTCCAGCAAGAAAAGCTAGATAACCTTAATGTGGCTCTTTTGCCTTTAAAGTCTATTAAAATGCAAGCATGGATTGAAATAGTTTGAGTAAAAGCACAATTCTGAAACCTCTTTGTAATGAACAGTTCATGGCAGTATCGGACAGGGTACTTTATGGAGGTTCATTCCTCTGTGGACAAGGTCATTTATTAGTATGCCAGGAGAACCAAAGTGACAGGTGAATATACATGGATTAATCAAAGAACAAACGTTCTGATACAGCTGTATAAAATATCAATATTTCTGGAATCTTGGAGGGTTGCATATGTGCAATATGGAAAAACAACATACACACCTGAAAGCAGATACATTTTTAATAACTTACTATTGTGTCCCTGGGCAATGCTTTCTTGGTCCATTAAAGAGAAGGCAAAATACAGTACACTTGAAACAAATCAAATTGAACCACCTACATGGCATTGGTATGGGAGGAAATTTGTCAGCCTCCCCATCAACTAAAGAGATTAGTTCACAGCTGCTCTGAAATATGGCAAGGAAAGAGAAGACACAAAAAACAGGAAGCAGGTTAACGAAAGGGACAAAGACCAAGTGAAGGGCCTCAGCAGAACTTTTTGAGTGGGAGTTCAAGAAGTAAGGGCTGTAACCAAGTCTGATAATGACTGAGGCTAAGAACTAAAAGGGACTTGGTCTGGCCACATGGAAGATAAAGAACCAATTGGGATGTTTGTTAACAAGGGATTTTAATTAACACACTGAGCAAGCAAATCTCAACGGAGGAACTTTCTCCTGGGGTGGTTGAAAGCATTATGACCTTTGGTGGCCCGATGTTTCAGCAGGCACCTGATACATGGCAGACATGGGGGTGTATGCAGCATAACCACATTAGCCACAGTTTGGCATACGTTGGAAGGATCTGATAAGATGTAGCTTCTTGTTTGTTCAGGTGCATTCTGATGCCAGATTCACACGCACAGTCTGTTGCAGTAATGTATGTGCAGCTTCTTTGTGCCTGTGGCTGTAACACTGTGTGTTATCATCTTTGGTCAGAGCTATCTGCTCCTGTGCTCTCCATTTGACAACCATCTCTTGCTTCTGCGTGAAGAATTTGTCTGTGATTTGCCATGCAGTTTAGGGTTATCCAGTGCACATATCTAGGGCGCATAATTTCAGTTTTCAGGGGTTCCTTAGCCGGCTGAAAGTCTCAGCTTTTCTCCTTTATTATTTGTGGAGGATCAAAGCCCTTGTTGTTAACTACAGGAGAATCTCAGGAACCTTGATATGCAGATGTGTTTGTGCATTTAGTGGATGAAGGTCATTGCAACTTTAAGGACTATGTGTACATCATCACAGCACAATTTTTTCTCTCTAAAACCAAGATCAAACTAGCACAGTTACTGATATAGGAGATTCTCCATAGACTTAAATTTGTCAGGGTTGGGTCTGATCTACGTTTGGATAAGAAACTTGTGAGAGAAATGGCTGCTTGCCGCATGTATATCGAAATCCATTTGTTTCATGAACCTCTGTGGTGTCGATGCAGCAGGTGGCACTGTTTCTTCTGCGAATTCTGCTTGAGTTTTTTTCGTTTTTTTTGATGAGATATTGTCTTTTTTACAATGAGGCTCTGACTCTTGCTGAGTATTAAATATCCCATAGGACTTTTTCATGATTCAATTTGGAAGCTTGTTTGTCCTGCCTGGGGATTTTCATTTTACCCATCTAAAATTTCCCCTGCAATAGATCAAGGATGTGTGCTGTTTTACTTTCTGTGATGAACTGTTCCATGGCATTGCTATGTTACACAGCTCCCCTATGGAAAATCCTGTAGATTGTATTAAAAGAGGGTAAATTTTGAACTAGCCTTAAGAAAAATGAGCAGGGAATTATATCTCCAGAGCTGGATTCGATCAGATGATATACTAGTAGAAACAAAGATCACTAAAATCTTAATAGACTGTAAAATGTAGAGTTGTTTCTGTAGAATTTTATTGGTTCCTTCCCCATTGAATTTTTAAGGTTTTTCCATAATGTTAAACAGTGCAATGTGGATGCATTTCAGTACTGACGAAGGGTTTTTAAACCGGGAAGTTTGCTAAAAAATTTTTCCAACTATTTAGGTTGGTCTAATGAAAGATATCAGATTCACCCAAAGAACCTTGTCTGCCTAGTACCTGGGTCTTGCATCAATCTGACATTAGTATCCGGGTGTTGATGTTTTCGCAGACAGAAGAAGTCTGTTTCCTAGGGATCTCAGAGGGGGCATGTTTCATGTGATGGAGAAGACATGGAAAGGTTCTGTAGGTAGCTGGCTATATTCTTGATAGAAAAATTACTTTAATACTGCTGGGATATATATCATATTGTCAGTGACTTGTTAGGGCATCAACAAAAATGGATAGGTATTTATTTTTATTCTGTACTGTTTTAAATCTGCATCTCTAATATATTCTTCATCTGCCTCTCAGAATATTGTTATACAAGTGGTAGGGGTGTGTTTTGGACCCACAGATACACAAGTCCTAGAGAAGTGTAAAAATTGCCTTTAAATTTCAAGCTCAACAGGAACTGAAATGCAACCTGTGCAAAAGTAATTCAGGTTTTCTAGCCATAATCAAAACAATCTCTGTCTTTAGAGCTGCTTGTTGGCAACCTGGGGATGGAGCTGTTCAGGCATCTACTGTCAGTGAAGATTGCTTATACCTGAATGTGTTTGTCCCTGCCGACACTGTAAGTATTGGTTGACTGGAACAATGTGTAACAAACTGTTCTTTGATTTGAAAGTATTTTTTACTGGTGGGAGTGAAAATGTCTGAAATGCTGTCTGCCATATCACAGAAGGTGGCAATGCCCCGCAGCCATAAGCCACTTAACCCCTGCTTCTGCTGCCAGAAGGCTATTCGCTAGGGTGTCGTGTGTTGTTTCAAACATACGTCATTTTTATTGTGGGATCAGCTATGCTGGCTGTGCTCCAGAACAGCTGTTCTCGATTGATTAGCAGGTACAGAGGTTGCTTGGGGCTGTTGTCCTGTAGGATTATGCCCTTGCCACCGTGGAGCTTCAGGAGCCTGATCCTATGGACAGAGGCCCTGGGTGCCTGGTCCTCAGTGGGGTTCCCTGTTCTGCGCTTAAACATGTGTCCTTGGGTGAAAAGTAGCCAGTATTGGTGGGGGAAGCAGTGGCCTGTCAGATGCTGGGGTCCCCTGCCCCACCATATTGCTGGGAACGGGCCTCCAGATGCCTTTTGCAGTGTCTTGGGATGAAATAATATCACATCTTTTGTGGCAGCCAATTTTGGGCTTTGTTCCAGGACATCTAAATGGGATCTGCTCTGTTTGTCTTGCCACAAAGTCTGTTTCTACCCTGTGTCTGCAGAGTAGGAAATGCAAAGGACTGAAGGAGGAAGGGGAGGGAATACCGGAGACAGGGATGAGATGGGGAGAGGGAGAGAGAGAAAGGAATATATGGAAAGATAGAAAATGTATGGTGTCACTAAAGGCCAAGACTGTTTTCCCATTGGAGGATATTGCATGCAACATGATTCATCTTGATGATAACCAACAGTTTAGTTGCTATGTATGGGACATATTTTTCCTTTGATCTTTGTATGAACCTCCTGTTGACATCTGTGGGAGGCCTGCTATGGAATAAGAGTAGCAAGTAGTGCTAAATTTATGTCCCAGCCCACAAAAATGGCCCTATTTAAAAATGAGCATGACATGGCTGCAAGAAGAGAAATTGACAGCTGAAAATGTTAAGTGTGTCCTTACAAAAGGTAAAAATAAGTCTCCACGTTGGGCTTGGTGTTATAAGTGTATTGGTTATGATGGATTAACCTGGAAGGGGGGCTTGGATTTACATCCTGATATAAGAAAGTATCTGCCGTACAAGAATCTATTTTTATATTCAAAATTGTTTGTGCCTCTTTGTGCATAAGCTCATGTATATTTTTATCCTGGCCCGCAACCTATCTGCAACACCAGATTATCATCTATTTTCTGTGCAAAGTCACCTCAGATAAAAACCATTAGGTCATTTTTCCTGGCAGGGTGTTGCTCTGAGGAGAGAAGATGCTTGTTTGAACGAATCATGTTCCAAACTATTGTTTTTTTCCCTTAACCATGGGCTTGATTTTCCTGTTTTCTTGTGTGGAAATCCAGGGTGAGAAGACTCAAGCTCCCTATTTTCACTGCAGTTGGAGGCAGCAATGCATGAGGGTGCTTTTCTAAGTAAAACAATTTTGTGTGCGTTTACTGGGCCACATCACTTCTCTGTGTAGTCATAAGTGATGACTGTGTTCAGCAATGCCACCATCTGCGTTCCCCGCTGCTGTGAAGTTTCCCACTTTGTCTCGGCCATAAGTGTGGCCAGCTGTCTTGTCGTTAGCATCTGCAAGACCCTCATAATCTACCACAGGGACAGCATTTTCGTGTTCCTTATCGTGGTAAATAGTATTACTTTAATCCACCTGCAAAGAACTATTGCCCACATTTTCAGTCTAGAGGAAGAAACAGCAACAAACCAACGTTGGATATAAAGTCCTTGGAAGTGGCAGAGAGCACAAGCTCGTGCTATAACATAGTAATATCTGAACCAAATAATAATATAATAATACTCGTGCTAAAACATAGTAATATCTGAACCAAATAATAGTATAATAATCCTCGTGCTAAAACATAGTAATATCTGAACCAAACTGCCTCAGAAAAGGGCTCCTATATTTAAAGATCCAGTATGCAGAAAACAGAATGACATCACCTCCTTTTGGTTCTTCAGCGACATGCAGTACATAAGCCTCCACCTTGGCTGAGCATTTCTGAGTTACTTTTTCCATCAGTAACCACCCCCACCTGCCAGGCTAGCAGGGAAGGGCTGGGTTTCAGCTTGATTTGCAGAGAATTCAACTGCAAAGAGAGTAGCACTAAATAAAGATTTGAGAGACCCTCCTTCTCGTTTCCATCCCTGCTGTGCAGTCAGGGTGGTTTATACCTCCATACAGTACTGCTCCAGGACCCTGGCTGGCTCTGCAGGAGTTAAAATGAGCCTGCCCAACTACCATTGAAGTGTCTTGCACTAGCATGGACAGGACAGTGGAAACTGGTGCTGAACCCCAGAAGGCCTTTCAGAAATTCCTCTTAGTTTTCTTGTTTCCACAAAACCAATGGGATTATTGCTAGCACAACGGTTAGGTGCTGGTGGTAGACGCCAGGGGACTAGTCATGGTTTTATTAGGCCACTCATCAGTGTTAGTACCCAAGTTTTGTCTGTAGAGCCCAGCTCTGCAGTGACACCCTGAAGTCCCTGAAACTCCAGTGTGTTCTGGTCCAGGGCTTTGGGTTTGATTCCTCTTAATCTGCTCAGTTTTGATCTAGCTCCAAACTTGTCAAAAGTTCAAGAATTTGCAAGCCTGGGATGTCTGCAAAGAACCTGCTCATGTAATACTTCTGGGAGGCCTCTCTCATTCTCTTGACTTCTTTTTTAAGATTTGGCTTTCATTTTGGGCCCAGTCCTGCAGTGCACAGTACCCAAATCAGGAACAATAAAGGGATTGTGTACACAACAGGCCACTGAAACTGCCAGCTGGTGGCCATATACTGAAAAAAAGATGTAACCAGGTAATGAGGACCCCAGCTAGTGCACGTGTACACACATGCCTTCCATGGTTAACACAAGCCTCCTGTGGTCCCGTAGTCGGCAGCAACTCTGCTGGGTTTACCTCTTCCTTCCGACCAGCCGAGCCAGTAGGAGCTGTGGTAGCCTTGTCCCAGATGGACGTCTCTCTACATATTTTACAAATCACAGTTTGAGTCTGTGCCCTTCAGTCCAAATGTAAAACAAACCTGTTAAAACACTGCATTGGCCAGTAGCCACAAGGCAGTCATGGCTGGTACTAGTATTTGTGCGTAAGGAACTTGCTGGCCCAGTTTTTCCAGCTAGCTGTAACGTTTACTCTATCTCCTGTCCTGCCTCCAGATTCGACTCTGTTACGCTAGCGTCATCGTTGACTTCAGTGTTGAGATTTTAAGCCAAGATCAAACTTTGACCCTATCCACATTTGTTAGTCAGCGAAAAGAATCTGAATGCTTCAGATCCTCTCTTTGCTTAGCCCTAATACGTGCAGTCTGTACTAGTTCAGCCTGCACTTCTTGGCCAGTTATAGACATTTCACTTTTACTGGTATAAGCCATCAGAAACTGGTCTGTACCCACAACAGAACAGAAGTTCGGCCCACACAGACTGGTTTAAAAATGGTGGAGCCCTGTCTAAGATTTCCTCCCTCCCCCCTCCACTAAAAGGCGAACATGTGCTCTGTTCGCTATTGGTCTAAACTACACCACTTACAGAAAACTGCATAAGTTAGATCAATTCCTCCTCAGGCTTTTTGAATGTCTGTACCTGGCCCTTAAGTGAATATAGCTGAGAATTCAAGGTAGAGAGCGAGGGGAAATGATACACCGACTGATTGAAAAATTATACTCATTGGCATAGTATGGCATTCACTGGATGCCAGTGCTGTTACATGGGCAATAAGATCCATCTTGCATGTTGGATGCAATAGTTCATTTAAGATGCTAAAAGAAAAATGACAACATGTTTTTCAGGTAGTTAACACCAAAAGTGATGGGGTGATGTTTATGGCTTCCTTCAGTTCATCAACTGTAGCTGAAAGCAATCAAGGCCAGATCTGAAAAGGTTATAAGGCACCCAAGTCTTATGTAAAAATCTAATTGCCCATTGACATTGAAGGGGTTTTAGGAACTTAAATACCATTTTTACTTCTGGCCCTAAGATTTAGTGGTTTTGTTCTGGTTAGGGGTCATCCCCCAAATGCTTTCCTGTGCTTTTGGAGAAGCTGAATTCATGTACAAAACAACCAAACTGGGACATCTGTCACTTCATTGACACTAGACATCAAAGGGGTAAAAGGGTATGTGGGGGACTGTTCTTTTACTGTTAGATTTCAGAGGACTAAGTCATCCCACTTGACTGAGTACAGCTGTTATTGCAGCCTCTGCTCTGCCCTTTCTTGCTAATTCCCACCTGTTTCCTTGCCTCTTAAGGCTGCTCATTGCTAGAACATGGAGTCAGGTTAAATAACTCAACATCAAAACACCACTGCAGGGGCAGTGTCAACTGGGGCTGTTGGATTTTTGTCTTATTAACTGCAGAAATGTCAACACAGCACCCTGCTCGTTTAGACTCACGTATGTGTACTCTGCAGGACTGTGCACATTTAGACATACCCTCAAGGTTAACATGACCAGCTGTTGTGATGTTATACTTGATTTCTACCAATCTTTAATAACACCATATAAGTTAATGTGGGTCAGCAAGGTGCTGTGCCTCAGACTGCATTTTCGAACAGGCTCTCAGCTTCTCTCTTTTTGTCATCCTGTGCCCTCTCTTCTTTTTTGCCAGGAAATGAAGGGCACAACACTCTTGATCTTGGCACTTTTTTCTGCAGAAGCAGAATGTCCAGAGAAAATCATGCATTTCCTTGCATCCAGGTTAAAGAAGCACAGCTTGCAGGAAAAATTGATGATGGTTTGCTGGCAGTAACAAGTATCTGGACCACTTTTTCCCTCCAGCACTGGAGGGAAGGGGCGGGGATACATTTTAAGTGCAAAAATCAGGCTCATCCCTGCCAATTTAGAGGCACCTGAGAACAATTTCCCATTCATAGCTCCTGACTTGTGCTTCTGCAGATGGCTGGGAACGGTCTTCTTGCATGGAGGACAGTAACACATTTGCTAGGACAGATGCCCAGCTGTATCTTCTGCCAATGCAAATGGGATCATCATTTTGTGTTAGCTGTGTCTAGAAAATAACAGCAGCAAAGCCCAGTGCCTTTGAGCTCCAGGTGAAAACAAACCCCAAATGTGCTTTGATATGTAGGCCACCAGCCCTTCTGTGGACAATGTCAATGGGCTCCAGAGCAGAAGCAGGGCAGGGTTTGCAGAGAGAAGGGAAGGGAATTTCTTAGCAGAGTCCCAGAAGACACAATAATGCTTTTGCCTGATATTGTGACTTGACTACAATGTGTCAATTAAATAAATAGGCAAGTAGCAATTTCCAGCAAAGAGAAGGCTAGCTTTGGTCCATTAAACAGCCAGTGGGAGGCTCTCCTTTGAGTAATATGATCGACTAGGTGGTGTGGAAGGGGATGGTTTTATTGTGAGTTACCACCTGTACAGTGTAAATACAAGAAAGTCTAGAGACAAGATTTCCTTAAACATTGCTTAGTCCATTCTGGGAAGTGATGGCCAGTCAGCACACATATCAGTGAGTTACCTCTTGCCAGAATTTCCCTGGAATCACATATATTATATGTGTGAGCTCCTGCCAGGTTGCCAACTCTCCTTTCATCATCATAATCCCTTCTAGACCATTTTGAATTGCTTTGATTGTTTTAACAGAGAAGATAACCAGGCTCTCAGCAAAGATCCAAAGGAGATTATGGCCTAGGGAGTAGTAGATAGTATAACTTGTTTATGATTATTGGGCAGGCTTGTTGTTGTAGTAACATGTTTATGATTATTTCAGGTCAAAAACACAGCAGTACTGGTGTTTTTCCACAATGGTGGGAGTGATCACACCGAGAAAGGAAATGCAGCTATAGATGGATCATACTTAGCTGCAGTCAGTGATGTCATCGTTGTCACTGCAAGTTACCGTGTCGGCATTTTTGGGTTTCTTAGCACCGGTAAGTCATGTCCTGCTATGAACCCCTGAATGTAGGGGGAAAATGCAACAAACCAAATGGCATGCTACAGTGTTTGTGGGGGGTGGGGTGGGGTTCTCCTTTCCATTAAACCTACAGCTTTGAAGAACTGTCTGTAAGATGCATTCCAGGGATGCTGGGAAAATTGATTCAAAGTGGGGAGCAACTTGTGCCAAAGGGGGAAAAACAACCGGTCCACCTCAGGAATCATAGGTTTGGAACGGACCTCGGGGTCATCCGGCCCTGCATGAGTGCAGGAAAGTTGCTCCTAAATGATCCCTGCCCGGCGCTTACCTGGACTCCGCCTGAAGGACTCCAGCGAAGATTCCACCGAACAGCAGCTTGATTTTGATTTCAGATAAAATGATGGATCCATTTGTACAGTCACATGTATCAAAGAGCTAAAGCCCTCCTGGGGGTGGGATGGCTAACAATAGCATGGTCAGGGTAGGGGTGGTAGGAAAGTCACAGCCCAGGGGCTGGGACAAGTGGCTGGACTTTCCCAGCCCCAAAGCTGCACTCTGATTGTATGTACATGTGTTCAGTTTGACCAGACACAGGTTAGCATGATCTATAATGCGCCTACTCAGGTGAACTCAGTTAGATTGGGCTTGCAATTTTTTTGCCCGATTTTAAACTCCCTAAACCTATGTACAGTTCAGTACGCAGGCTTACCTACTCCGAAGTGTAATGTCTTGTGTTTCATATTGCACTCATCAGTCTTATCTGCTTTGCTTATGGAGTTTTCTATTTCTAGATCTTCACACTGAAACTTTGGTCCACTTCAGTGCTTTATTAGCCTACCCAAAGAAGATCTGAGCAGGGAATTACTCTTTCCCTGCCTGTATTTAAGGCCTTTTGTATCTTGCCATGGGATCCTTTCTGTGGTCTTAGGGGTTGTGGCTGGTGTTTTCATTGACACTGGCTGAGGTTTGCAAGCCTTGGACTTGCAGCTGTAGTTGTCACCTGGCATTTCCTTTCCAAGGCATCAGGTTTGGTTTGGAGTTCATTTCCAGCAATGCCTGTTTTTAATTATTGACTGAAGCAACAGGCACTGTGGACTCCTTTTTTCACTTAGGTGTAAAGTTAGTACTATCTGTATCTAGGGAAAAGATCATAGTTTTTATTTTTCTGTAAACTGGATGCTTCTGAAAGTGATATTTAGCTCTGGCTATAGCCAGGCAGAGTGGATATATATTGTGCAAGCTTCCATTACGTAGCACTGCCCACACATCTCCCACTAACCTCCTTCAACCCCGTTTGCCTCACCTAGGTTTCTTCCTGAGTGGAAACTGCTAGCTGGGCTGAATATTGCATGGGTAATGGCTGTGGTATGGTCAGACCTCATCTAGGGAATATGAAGTGCTCCAAGCTCATGTGTGCTGGTTGGGGTTTGAACTCAGGCCTCTGCATGAGGCCTGCCCTAGACAGCAGGGTCTGAAATATTCCCTCTGCCAGGGCTGCAGGTGGCCATGTAAGGACAGACAGCGACAGCACCATGTGCAGGTGTGTTGGGAGGGAAGATGCATGAACCTCACTCTGCTCCTTTGCACAGTTCACACAGAGCCCCAACCAGCTGCAGATTCTGTATTTGAAAAGAGACAGGAAATGCTCCTTCTGCTTACACTCATGTTGCTCTGAAGGGTCCATGCTCCATATCAGCCTTTAGAGCAGGCCAAGTGCACCAGACAGCCTGCTGCCCCTGAGCCACTTCTGTAGGTCAGGGAGCAGTGAGATGTCCCTGAGCATTTCCCTTCCCTCTCCCCGCTCCAGTGACATCCTCAGTGCAGGCCAACACTGTATGGCATTGACCCAGGTTTCAAACTCCTTCTCTCAAGTGGTGTTATTCTGGGGAAGATTTCACACATTCATTGCAAGTAGAACTTTTGCCATTTTATTAGTTACTCATTGTCTTTCCATAGCACAGTGGAGATTTTCTAGGGGCCATTGCTGTATTTTATAGCAACAGGAAATTACAGCTAAGGATTCCTGAGCTTGTTCTGATACCATGCAAATGTTCACCCAGAGCATATACTAAACCCAAGTAAAACCTTCTGTTAGGTTTCCTGTTCCAGGGACCTTGGGACTTTGCTCAGCTGAACTCCTGACCATGCTGAAGTCAGCTGGAGTTTTGCAATTGATTACAATGGGATACGGATTTTACCTCTTTGTTTCTGATTAAATGTAGAAGTATGAATACCATATAAAGGCTGTCAGCCCACAAACTAAGACCCAGTCCTACGAGCTGTATCAAGTTATTTGCCCACAGAAAAGCAAATTGTTGCATCCCATTGATGTTTGTCTGTCATACATTGAAAATCTGGAAATGAATGAGTTACAGCTCATTGTTTTTACATGAGAAAAAAATGCCCTCCTTTCTTTTCCACTGCCAGATCTGCAGTTGTCCTTGATTCTCTTATGTGGCAGAGCTGCTGAGGAGCTAGGTGGGTCATGGCTCTGCATATGCTGTGGGTGGTTTGTGTAGAAAACACCTGGTTTCCTGCACATATTGAAAGGCCACTGCTGTGTGCGTAGGTGACTATGGATATAGGCAAAATAAGACAAACGATGAATTTCTTCTTTTATGACACAAATGATATCTTAGTTGGTAAAACTGAACAAATTGAAATAATCCCTTTTTTTTTTTTTGCATGATGTGTTTTCAATTTGACATTGAAAATAGACTGACCAAATCAACTTTTATTAATAGTTTTTTTCTAGCTAATTCAGTGTTTAGGTTCCACTGCAATAGTACAGTGCTGCAAGGGTACAAACAGCACTATGGGGAGTGTTGGCTTCCTAAAATATTAGATTTCCATTAGAATATTACTTTAAAACCAACTAGCCTGCTTGTTAGGTTTTCTTGAAATCCATTCCACTAATCCTAAATTTGGGACCAAATTTTATGTGCCTATGTCCAGAAATATGGCAAGATATGAAACACAGATTTCCACAGGACTCTTAGGTTGGTATCCAGCAAAGTCAAAGTGAACTTGGCTACTTCTTTAAATGAAAACAGTATCAGATTTTCAGGCATTCATCTCACAAACATTCATACACTTAACTTGAATTCCAATGGAGTAGGATTACTCGCATGCTTAAAGTTAAGAACATTTGTAAGCATTTCCTAGGATCACAGCCACGGCCAGGTACAAAAAGTTATTAGGTACCTAATTCCTATTTAGGCATTTAGACATCTAAATGTCTTTTTAAATCTTGCCCTTAATGACTAATGCAAGTGCTTGTGTCTGATGTAATTACTGTGTCTTTTTGTGGTCCTCAGGAATGTCTTCTTTGTCTCAAAACAGATTGTTCATGAGATTTCTATCCAAGGCCATCACCCAAGCAGTTGAAAAATTCCTGGTGGACACATGTCTGACTACTGTAAATGTCAGTGCACAAATCTTGCCTCGCTGAAGGTCATTAACTATGTTTTGCAACCTTCCGCTTCTTGCCAAAAGAGAAAGGCTGGTTGTGTTTTCTCTGTAGTTTTGCTTTCCGTTGTACTGGTGGCATGGCTGATCTCTGTGGATAACTCATCAACATGGATTTCACTTCCTTAGCAGAGCCCTCAGAAGGCTTGCAGCAATTTTTAAAAATAAGCTGTTCTATTTAAGAAAGGTGATTGAATCTAGTACTGGTGTGACAACACTGTGAACTGATGATTTCCATTTGCAGCACTGGTTCAACAGAAGCAAGAGGCAGGGAAGCTTTCCTCGGCCTCTCACTCAACCTAGTCCAAATGGGTTGTTTCTAAAGGCAAGAAGTCATAGTCACTGTGTCCATTTAGTCCTTGGTAACAAAGACTGAACTGTTCTGGGCAGTTATTACAGGATGAAAGTTTCTAGTTTTGTAATGTCTTAGACTGAAGTTGAGCCATCAACACAATTGAAAGCCTACTTATCCCATTATCAGTTCATTCCCCTCTGTGTTTTTGTTGGTATTTTAAAGATGCACTATTTTGGCCTTGGCAGCAGAAGCAACAGTTTGAAAAACATTGCTAATTATGGCTGTTCTGTCTACTGTGAAAAATCCTCTTCTTTTCTTAAATGTAAAGTTTGCTAAGATAGATGGATAAATATAAATGGCTCATTGTAAATTGTAGGTGGAGCAACAAATGATTATTTGTTCTTCCTTTTGACAGGTTGCTGCAAATTGCTTGTTTTTGCTTCTTATTGCTTCAAATTCTAATTTTGCTAATTAGAATTTGTCATTGGGAACTAAAACCAATACCACCCCTCAGTTGAAATATCAGATTATCCACAGGCACTGTTGCGAAATCATCTGTTGTTGTTTCGTTAGTGGTAGCTGAACCTGGGGCATGTGTTCTCAATTTTTTTCCATTGCATAAGAGTGGGGAGTCATGTAATCCACATTGTTGTGTCAAACCTCAGTTTGGGCCAAACTCAGGGCTGATGCATGCGAGAGGGGTAGGTTAGAAGATTGTAAGTGGGTATAAAGGAATCCAAGGTGTTTTGTCTTTGGCATATAAGGGACAGAATGGGGTGTGGGGAGTATATCTGGGAGATCATCTAACAGAAGGATGTAAGTAGGTGTGCTTTAGAGTATATCATCAATGAGAATTGCAGCTGCTCAGCATTTTTGAAGCTTGAGTTACTTATTTAGATACCTAAATATTGCTTTAGGAACAAAACATTAGCACCCACGGTAGAAAATCTTGGCCTCAATCTATAGGCAGCAGAATCATTTCTGGAATTTTTAGCTCAGCTGATTTTCTTATGTTATAAAAGTAGTGCTGGGAGGTACAAGAGTAGTTAGTGGCACTTGTTGCAACATTGTGAATGATTACTGTAATGCTTAAGTTTTAAAATAAAATTTGGTAGAGCTTTGTGACGTTAACTGAAACAGGAAAGTCCTAAATACAGAATAAAAATCTTTTAATGTTTATGATTTTTCCATTTGTAGAATGAAGCTGACATTATTAATATTATTACTAAAGAGAAACCTCTTTCTTTTGCAAATCTCTGCAGCTGGAAGAACTGTTAATTTTATTAGTTTTGTTTAAACTGGTGATTCTTATATTTTCATTAACTTTATCTGGGAATGCATTGGAATGCATTGCTAATATTATCATGATGTCCGTCTATATGCTGCTGTTTCTGCAGTGTGTTGTTAGCCTGCTATTTCCAACCATCTCCACCAGGTTGTCAAAGAATGTTTGAAATTCTGGGCCCATTGACATGAATGGTGAAGCTCCTATTAATTTTAATGGAAAAAGTTGTTTACCCAGTTTCCTTACCTTAACTTTACTGCTAAACTACACGGTGATACTCTCAATGCACCTCACACACCTCAGTTCTTTTATGTGTGATCTTTAGACCATTGGACTGGAACATGGAAGACCAGGGTTTCATTCCCAATGACCTGCTGGGTGATCATGGGCAGTAGGCCAACCACCCTATAATTCAGATTCCCCATCTTCTAAATGTAATGCATGATGAAGACCTCCATTGAGTAGTGTTTTACATTCTGCTGAGAAGCATGACAGAAGACCTAAGCAGTTGTTATTGTTCCTAGTTTATACTCCCATTTTTTCATCATCTTCACTGACTTTTTGTCTGTTATGGTAGAGCTGGGATGATACTGTAGCTATGATATCCAGGAAAAATGCCAGAGGCAAGGATTTTTGCGGTTAATATTTTTTTACTGAACCAATTAAATAGTTGGAAGGATGTAGCGGAGACGCCCCTCTGTTTTTGTCTGTTATGACTTTCTGTAAGGATTATATCAAAATTATTTTATTACAGAATAAGGGAATTCAACAAAACAAAATCAGATCTCCTCCTGAGAGCACAGTGTTTCCTCTCTGTACTAGACTGCATCTGAACAGAAAAAAATGGTAGCAGCCTGTAGCAGACTCTTAAAAGTGCAGTACACAGAATGCTGCACCATTAGTTTTGTTACAATATCCATGCCCCATATCTTCCCATTCCAATTCAAACCATACTTAGGGGTTCTGGTAGCATCCATGACTTTGCTCACCTGCACTGCCTCCTTGACTTCTTATCTGCCTTCAGTCCTGCTCACTCTACTTGTCTAATGACTCTACAGTTGGGTGGGTTTTGATTTGTCCTATTCCATCTAGTTGGAAACCACGAGTAGCCATGTGTATTTAGTGCTGTATCTGGAACAAACTGCTGAAAGCCCTAAACTAATACTATTTCCAGTTTTGGAGACAGCATGTGTAAAGCAGCATGGCACTGCCTGGCACAATAATTTATACGTATCCTAAGTTGATACCTTCTTGGGATTCTCCTGTGTAGGACCAAGTACCTATTCAGAAGATAAATCCAGAGGTTTTCAAACAGGAATCCATAAGTGTCAGAAACATTTCTGACCTGTTGTGGTTTTTCTGAGTTCTCTGTAACAAAAGAATTGCTCTATCATTTTTCCAGTGTCAGAAAAACAAGTGAAAGCTAAGAGCTAGCATTTTCCAAGGCTTGCCTTGAGCCTAATGAGGTTGAGAACCAGTGCCCTAGATGAGTTATCTCCAGGTCAGGGCAGGGAAAAGCATGTATGGTAACTACCCATACTAGATCTGTTGGGCAGATAAAGATTTTAGTTGCTAGGGCTGCTATTCTGGCAATGGAAAATTTCAAGGCATGCTAATATGTCTCAATAGAGTCCCCAAGCTTTAACTTGTAAAATGGAGGTGGCTGCAAGGGGAAATCTCTATCTAATGACAGTCTGAGAAGCTCTTGACTCTTGAGTTCTGGTATCATTTCCATTTAGACCTGACAGTGGAAAGAGATATTACAGAGACTGTCCTGCCACTTAATTGACCCTTTTATATGTCATGGCCAGATTTCAGGGCAAATTAAAAACAAGTACTGCATTTATAGACCTTTAGCCACATGTAAGAAGAAGAAGATTAATGTCACATTTGCTTGCACGTGAATAAATGCCATTTTCCCAATTCTTTTTTAACAGGTTCTCAGGTAGCAACTGGCAACTGGGGCCTTTTGGATCAGGTGGCAGCTCTGAGATGGGTGAAGAAGAACATTGCTAGCTTTGGAGGTGATCCACGTCACATTTCAATAGCGGCTGATAGGAGCGGAGCAGACATTACCAGCATCCACCTAGTTGCAGGATCTGTAGAGTCAAATCTTTTTGAGAGAGCAGTGTTGATGGTGAGTCCCATTCGTCTTTATTTCATTAGTCAGGTACCAGTCAAAGACATAATAATGAAAGGATAACTTACCCATGAATAGATTTGGGGGATGTCATGGAATGTGCACATTGGCTTCATTTTATGCAAGCATTGGCCCGGCTAAAATAAGTACAGTTACTGTTACTGATTTCACAGTAGCACCAAGAAATTTTAGCTGGGCTCCAAAGAGCCCAGGCTCCTTACAAACAGGTTATGACATTTTCTGAAGTGACTGATTAAATCGAACTCAGATTTTCATTCTCATCATTGTGGTTTTTCATGGGTTTTATAAATAGACCACTTTCGTAATGTATAGGTACAACAGGTTAGTTTCCATTCTACAAGTATAACCATTGTTCAGCAGTTTTTAGCTATAAAGCTAGTGAGCCAAATAGCTGGTCTATATGAAGGATCCAGAGTTGCTGAAGTATTTGTCCAGTCCCATGACACATACAGATTCTAACTCTGATTTTAAAAATAAGTTTCAAGTCCATGTGCTTACAGTTCCTATTTTTGTTCTGTGATCATATGTCCTGTAGCATTATACAGCAAAAGAGTGGTCCCCAACCGTCTCACCTTCATGTTGATGCTTAGAGCTGTGATGATGATTTAAACTCAGAACAGTGTGTTATTTCCATATGTAATTACTATATTTTTTCTTGTAAAATGAATGATTGTACTAGTAAATGGTCAAGTAAGCAAAGGGCAGAAAGGCCAGTGGCCTAAGTGTAAACTGTTTCATCTTTTTCACTTAGTAATGCAGAATTGAACATTTTGCTCATCCCCCTCAACCATACTTTGATTTTGAGGATTGCTCCTTCATTTAGTCACAAAATTCTACATAATTGTGTCTTTCTACTTTTATTATAGAAAATTAGTTATGTCAGATGTAAAAACTAAGTCACTTCAAGTAATTTAATTTTTCATTATGCATCAGTGTTGTATGCCTCATTTTGGGTCTTTGTTAAGTGCTAAAAATTACACTTTTACATCCTGATACATGGAGAAGTATTAATTTCATAAAGTTTTTTCAGTCATGAAAGCTGTACCCAAGAAAAAAGTTCACGTATGTATATCTACTCCGTAAGATATTTAACTTGAAATTGCTTTCAAATTTGATTGACTTAAGCTGGTGCAAAAACCTGTGTGGACACGTTGTATTTGACCCTTGTTTATATCATAGTTTCATAGTAGCTAGGGTCAGGAGGGACCTGAACAGATCATCTAGCCTGACCCCCTGCCAC